TATGATGTCATGTGGTGTCATATGATGTCGTGGTGTCATGTGGCGTCGTATGATGTCATGTGGTGTCATGTGGTGTCATGTAATGTTCAAAGTGCGTTCAACTTAATTCAGTCTTGATTTGTGTCAATGAGCATTTGGAGTTTAAACATAAAAATACACTTGGTAGTTAGAATTTGAAGTATTTTTACTGTATTATGGTCATTTATTCTGTATTTTGCCAGATTATGGTGATTGTTGTTTTTGTGTTAGCAAAATAATTTGGAAAAATCTAGAACAAAACTATTGTAAATGAACGCGCTGCTCACTTCGGCTTTTTTATTTATTTTTTATGTATTTTTCTTTTTCGCTTCGGCTTTTATGTGCTGCTGCTTCCTTCACCGCAGATGACGGGAGGTGCGGAGACGCGCACGTGCACCTGACCCATCCATCCATTAGATTTACCACTTCTTCCTTTTTGGCTAGTGGGAACACTGGTGCCCTTGTCCAGCCATCACAGTGCGAGAGGCGGGGGACACCTGGACAGGTCTCCAGTCCATTTCAACCAGCGGCTCAGCTGTCACCAGCCGCTCACGTGCACAGTGACAGCTGATCGTGGCTTTTTTTTTTTTTTTTTTTTAACCTCTTAAATCATCCGGTCGGACCTGCCTCCTCCTCAACAAGAAGATTAACAGTTTTATATCGTGCATTTTTATTTAGTTTTCTTTCTGCTGATTCATAAAACCACATCAAAGCCTGAGACCGGCCCAACTTGCACATTAAACACATTATATGGACCGGCCCGACCCGCACATTAAACACATTATATGGACCGGCTCGGCCTGCACATTAAACACATTATATGGACCGGCTCGACCTGCACATTAAACACATTATATGGACCGGCTCGACCTGCACGTTAAACACATTATATGGACCGGCCCGGTCGTGATAACGCAGCGCGTTAACATCATATCCAGAAGATGTCTGTAACATTCAGCTGAATCTCAGAGGTTGTTCATCCCGTGCGACTGCACCACATAAAAATCAGACTTGGAGGAGATTACATTGGTCCTGAGGTAAAACTAATCCCGTGAGAATATCGAACTTTAGACTCGTTTACAACAGAGACCTGACTGAACAACGAACACGGATGACGTACTCACAACAGACCGTCATGTAAAATGAAAAGCAAACAAGAAATGATATAAAAACTAAATGAGCGGTTTGGAAGGCTAAAGGTCCATGTTCTGGTTGACGTCCTGAAACGAGCCGTTTGTGATCGTCTGCGGCGCCGTCCTCCTGCAGCGCCTCAAAACAGCAGCTAAAAACCTGTCTGTTAGCTAAAGCTAATTTAACAAGTTCCTGTTTGTTTTCAGAACAAACCAAATGTGTTTGATGAACGCTGCCTCAAATCAACCTTTAGCTAAAGCAGCTAGCAGCGCTAACGGCACAGCGTCCAGAAGTCACGAGTCTCATTGTGACATAAATAAAACTAATTTAGTCTCAGTTTACATTTACAACGTGACCAGAGATTTACTTAATAAACTTTGATTTTACTCTTGAAAATGGCCCAGAAATATTGTACCATGTTTTTATCATACCATACCATACCAATTTATTTATATAGCACTTAAAACAGCAACAAGGCCAACCAAAGTGCTGTACAAAAGAAACAAACATGCACAGCGGACAGGAAAACATAAAATAGAAATACAGATACAAATAGCAGCAGAAG